TGTAAAATATTGAATGCGTATTCGTCACCAGCTACCACAGTTTTTTAAAACGCAATAGTCTTTGACGAAGAATGATGCTTTCTCCCAACCTCATGTACTGTTTTGTAGTTTCTGTTGTTTTAGAACTGTTCATTACTTTGAATCTGACCTCCTTATTGCTATTTTCATCGCATATATTGGTTCCTAGATCAATATTAATGGACCATACAGTTTTCAAAGTCAGAAAAATTGGATTTCGCGATATTTTTTTAAATAATTTATTTGTCGGATTTTGGTTTTAATAGTTTTTAAGGCCCTGTCCTCGAGATATATTTTGCAAAACCTCCTTTTTATTATTCTAAACTTATTTGGGATGTTTTGAAGGCGCGACGACTATAGTTAATACTCTCATTTTGAGATTAGGACGAAAAATTAGCAATTATTAAATGAAATATTGCTGGAGAATGTATTGAACGTAAAAGTGAGAAAATATTCGCGAAAAAATGCCGTGGTTTATTGGAATCGTCGCCAAATCGCTTTTAGTATGTGGTTACCCGCAATAGTAACTATAAAAAGACAAATCGTGTGTTACATAATGATTTTGTTCAAAAATAATAATAAAAAGCAAAATACTTTTTTGTGGTAATCATTTTTGGGTTGTTATAGATTTTAGCCGATATCTTCGAGACCAATAGTTCTTTCGCTGTGATTCTTGCAGAAATAAGATTTAAATATGTCCACAAACATATTCCATCACACAAAATTCAATTAACATCTTTAGTATGCTGGCTTTAGGCGTATATATTAGAATTTTGTCAAATTTGTATTGAGGCAAAATACTTATTACACTCACTGTATGTAGATAGATTACAATTGTGAAACCATGTTTTCAATTATATAAAACCACTTAAAGCTGATTTTTTATAAATCAATATGTATTTAACCTGTTTTTCCAATTTTAAAATTTTTTCCAATAGTCCCATATGCCGACTAAACTGACCTTAAACTGTTTAGTTCCTTAGGGCAGCATCGACAAAAATTTCATAATTACAAATATTTTTTAATGGTTTTAAATTCTACAGTATTCCCCTCTATGTTCTTTACAATTACGAAGGAGATCCTTGTGAAAAATATATAATTTTATTATTGTTACAAGTTTTTTGCCCACTAACATTGACCAAAATTTTATACAGAGGTTGCAGTGTTATTGAAGATTATTCAAGGTATTTTTCATATTTAGTCATGGGATTTTTTAGTTATTTGAAGTTATATAAAACAGATGCCGACTATTGGTACATGCCGAAATTAGGTGCGTTTACCCTATCGAAACTATTTCCTTTTTATTTATCAATGTTTTAAAATCAAAAGCGGAATTTTTAATTATTATTGCTAATATTATTACTATTTTTATTAATTTTTGGATGCAATATTTCCACTGATAACTATCAATAGTCCACCATTTCAGGAAATGAAAAATATTCCGATTTTTGGCAGTTGATGTTTTGCAGAAATGTTACACATCGTAGAGAAATTCGTATTTTATGTGACCCATACAGATGTGTTGTTGTTAAGTTCTAATAAAATCAGTATTCATGTATGTACATTGAATATTAACATATAAACAAATCGAGAAAATTGTAATTTACCGTTTCGAGATTTTTCATATCTGTATCAAGCCCTTTATATCGATTGCCATTGATAATTGTTTGTTTTGTGGATTCCTAATGTGGAATTGTATTTAATTATATTAAAGATTGCACAATTCACAATACATTAATATTCTCTCCATACACTGAATCGATACAGATAAAGTATTGCATGTACTTTGCTAATACAAAATTAACCCTTTAGGATGGAATAGATGCCCATATAAAAAATCTCATTAACTGTATATTTTTTGTTTAAGAGGAAATATAATCAAGCGGGTATAAAATATCAAATACTAGATGAGGCAAAAAAAATCTACTTAGTTCACGAGAACGATTATATGTATTTAGAAATATAAAATAACAATAGTAAATATATTTATGTTATTATTTAAATAAAGCCATCCATACATAATCACCTCTAATAGTGTCAGCTTTTAAACTCAAATGAATCTAATATTTGCATACCGGTTTTCGTTACTTTAGTTTCCCGTCATGATAGTAGCTTAAACATGTCGTGTTTACACAGCGAGTGATGTTTGTTTCTGTTATTAGAACACCGGTATTTGGGATCCCCATACATTTGATGATGCATTGGCAGAGAGTAAAATCATTTAAGTCTTTCGAGAGTAACATCACTCAATATTGAGCTATAACATAAGATTGAGTGGATATTGGTTTCTCGTTTGAAAACAAATTAGCTTGGCTCCAAACCCATCATATTATTGCGGTTGTTGATGGAATAAACAATTAAACTCAGTTTTAGCACAGTTTATATCTCGCTCCAATAAAGACCAATATTGAAATTTATTGGTATGCTAATTTGCTCTCCAAATCCACAAAAAATAACTGAAAATAGGGACGATGTTGCTGTATGTTGTCTATGACTATATAGTCCATCTTCGTACTTGACTAGTCTGCAAAAAATGGAAAGTAAATTATTATAACATAAAAAAGGTTTATTGCTACTTTTGCTACCCAATAAAACCCCAAAGTATCAAAAAACCAAAATATCAAATTACAGTCAAATCGGTTAAAAGCCTTGGACACGGCTAAAAATACCTAAAATCTAGATACCATTATATACAGTGGTGGTCAACCATTTTTAAATATATTTATTGTGAATGTTTTTTTTAGAATTAAGTAGGTAATTTATTCACTATTAAAAACAAAAATATTAACAAAAGCCAAATTTATTTTGAAATACAAAATAATCTATGGGAATCTGTTTGGTCAAAACTAAATCAACTTTATGATTTTTACTTTTAAATGAGTAATTTTAGCTAGCAATCGAAAGCATAGCCATTATATTTTTTTAGGGTAGCACACCTACGAGGCATTGTATCTATATGACGCTCAAATAGGTCTTTGGATATATTATTCTTCCCATACTGAACCTTTGGGAAGAGGTTATGTTTGTTTGTCAACCTCTTTTGCTATCCATGATACTCCCAAAGATTTGTCTATAGAGTAAATATCTGATGATTGTGCTGAAACACATAAAAAACGGTGTATTTTCTTCATCGTTTTCAACACATCTTTATGGACAATCCGACAATACTTCAGAAATCTCATAAATAGATCGAACTCTATAAAAATAAAAACAGCCCAATACCATTAATGAGCCAATTTCGTCGTTTTTATTTATTTCATTATTTCATTTTGCATTTATGTTTTTTAAGTGAATAAAATACCTGATTTAATACATAAACCCCTAGGGCGATATGTTTATTTTTGAAAAGTATATACGGCATTTATTATCTTTGAGATTTCAGTTGCTTTAGTTTTGGCGGTATCTGAAAGTGAACAAATATTAAAAATTTTTGTAGCAAAATTTTTCATCCATTGAGAACCCAAAATATTAAATTACAGTTTATTCGGATAAAAAATTGTCCAAAATACCGAATATTTGGGGGAACTTAACTGTAAATTGCCTGTCAAGATAAGACACATTGGTTGGAAAATTTAGATAAACACTTCAACATGCTGAAAATGAAACGGAACTATCATATGGCCTTTTTCAAAACATGAGCCTACAATTATCGAAAATAATCCTTTCAAAAAAAATTTCCTTAATAGATGTATAACAGCCTTCAAAATCTGGAATGTAAAATTACAGCCCATTAGGCTGAAAAATGCGGCTAAAACCATCAAAATTCCGATACAATTATATGGTAGCTACATCCTCTATCTAAATATTGCGAGCCCTATCGTGATTTCAGTAGACGTACTGACTAGGCTAAACCGACACGATTATAATCTCTAAATTAAAGCGCTAAAAATCCTAGCTAAAGAAATATTAAAAAATGACATTTGTAGCCTTCAAATATGTATAAAATATCCATGCTAAAAATATTAAAAAATCGAAGCTTATAGTCATCTAAAAATTATTAAGAATCACTCTTATAGACCTCTAAAAAGTATTAAAATCTACTTGTATAAAATATTTAAAAAATCCACGCTAACGGCCCTCTAAAAATATTTAAAAATTTCCATCATAAATCTGAGTTGAACTTCCAAAAATATTTTGAAGATATCCACTCATAAACTACAAGCTAATTTCTCAGAAAACCCACAAAATTCTTAAAAAATCAAGAATATACCTGAGATATCTCTTAACAAATTCCTATATCTATTTAAATATTTCTCAAGTAATCGGCCCTTGAAAAATCCTCACTTATGGCTCTGACAGTCTTTAATAATTTTAAAAAAATCAATTTAAATATTCAATAATGAAATCTATGCTTAGATCGCAGAGAGCGCTTGGCTAGTATTTAAATATCGGACATATACATCTGATAGTCCATTGCAAGTAGAATGAGAATATTTATATTTTCTCCATTCAGATGAGCCTATTTTTTATTGATCGACCAAATTTGAATAAAAACCCGGCAACGCTGAGTACAATTTATTATCACAAAACTAATGTGATTTCGCGATAAGAAAAAATTAATAAAAAACACTCAATGTAATTTAAACATTGCTCTTGAGTGTTTCTCATTCAGTTGCCGATTAGACATTGAACGGTTAAGACGTGGTGTTCGCATTGTGGTCTAAAATTCTATAGTTTTCGAAATTTCAAAGACGATTCGTGTGTGTGATAACTATCAACAAATTACATACAACAAACATACATGTGAACGAACATCCAACCAAACGACAACATCAATTCGAACGGAACAACAATAACAATTGCCTACTACTGAAGATCATTTAGCTGTTCTGTGAACACACAATAGAAAGAAATACATTATTAATAATAATAACAATAACAACAACAATAATAAAAACGAAAGAAAGAACCCACTAAAAATCCGGTTTTCTTAATTTCGACGTGTGCGCCAAACAACAACCAAAAAACCCCAAATCAACAGAATGTCCATTGAGAATAGTGTAGCAGCATCGATGGATAAGTCAAACGTCTCATCGACATTGGTATTTTTTGTCAATGGAAAGAAGGTGTGTACTACAGCGAAGTAACACAGTGACGTACATATATTTAGACAAGTTATCCGCAAATTGTTTTTGAATTATGAATTGAAATTTGCCAAATATTAAGAGAAGAAAGAATTTGTGCTAATGAACTTATTCGCATACAATTCACGTGCCATTTTGATAAACACCGAGAAATAATTTATCTGTTTTGAATTTAAGCGTGGCATTTCAATGTGCTTCAATCTGATTAGATATGAAATGCATCAAATGTGTTTTCAGTTGGAACATGTTATAAAAATTAAATAAAAAAACACGAACACAATTGGGTTGATTAGATTCGTGTTCTACAAAAGATAAAAAATTGAATAAAAATTGATCAAAAAAGGTCCCAACAAATTAGAAAAATAAATATAATCTGGAAATCAGAAGTGTTTGTGAACTAAAAAAATGAGAACCAAAAATATGTAATTACAAGCAATTCAGTTGAAACCCATGCCTGAGATCCTGGATTATTTTTGCAGAGTGACAAACACATTGGTGGAAAGTAAAAAAAGAAAACCTTTAAAGTACTGTTAATGATATACTGATACTGGGATAATCCTCTATTTTGTCTCCCTCAAACAATAAATGCCAAATTAAGGTTACTCAGATGGGAAATTTAAAACTTTCAAGACACAAATTGGAGAGGACTGAACGGGGTCTATGCCAAGACATGGATCTATATCGAAAAATTTCCGCAAATACAATTTTCACATTCCAAGGACCCAGTGGGTGTAATATGGACACTTCGGAAAATGTTGAAAAACTCTCAAAATACCGATAATGGGGAGGAATCATTATATGGAGGATATGTCCAAAAACTCGACCGATGTGGAAAATTTTTTGCACGGAATTCCCGAAAATTTGGAAAAAATATATAAATAATCATAAATAGGGCGGGACTTAAATGAGGGCTATGTCAAAACATGCACCCATATGGAAAATTGTCTGTAAATTTGTTTATCACACTCCAAGAACCCTGAAAGCAAAATTATAGATCTCTTCGGTGGGAAAAAGGAACAAAAAGCATTCGACATTTCGACAATGGGATGGAACCTTATATTGAGGCCTATGTCAAAACTTGCTATCATATCGAAAATTGTCTGCAATGATGTTAATCTCCCTCTAAAAACCTGGTATGTAAGTCACATCGGAGGGAAATGGTGTCTGAAATATTAAAAATGTCTATAACGGGATGGTGTTATAATATGGGCGTATTTCAAAACATGGACCCAAGTCGAACATTTTATACAAAAATCCATGGACCGACATATGCCAATTTCAGACCAAACTTCCAAAGAGTACTTACAATGCATGTGCACTATTTCTAAGCTAATAATTATTACATCTTTATTGTGAAGGGTGAAGGTATAAAAAATCAACTATTAAGGGAACCACCCTCATTTCCGATTTAAAAAAATTTTATTTTGTCTTTAAAATTTCAAGTGAAAATCTCAAAAACTCTTGAAGATATATCCGGTTTATTATGTCAGAATCAAGCGACGGCACGAGTGACTCTCAAACTTTAAACGCGTTTATTACAAATGGCGAGAACGGCAACTCAAAAACTAATAATTCCATCCTTTTCAAATATTAACACGCTATCGTATGTCCACTCCCTTTAGTATCTATCCCACAAAGGTTCATCTCATTTGAAACGAAGGGAATCTAATTTCATCGAAACATTGCACATCGTAATATATTTACCTTACCTAGATTTTGACCGGTCAAGATTTCCCTTATTTTCTAACTAGGTTTGATGCCAAAAATACAGTATTATCCAAAAAATCATAATTCATAGGTCCGCCATTTTGTAAATTTTTGTGCGACGTTAATAATCCTTCCAGAGCCGGACATGTACTCTTTTAAATCACATTGGACTTTTTGCAATCGGAAGTTCCATGGTCGCTAATCATTAAATGTCTTAACCTTTAAGGCTTCAAGTGATTATATACAAAGTTGCAAATCTTCAATGTAATACAGCCGCATGAAAATCATAAAAATTTGAAATTGCGAACGGTGTGAAGGTCTCCTTAAATAAATATTTACAAAATCAAATCTTAAATTTTTCATATCTCCTTATAAACTTATAGTGAGCGAGTGATTTTAAAATATTCTTAAAAATTTCATGCTTGAGGCTGCAAAAAATATATAGAAAAGTTTTACACATTTAGCTCTGATAAGACTTCATACTAGTCTCTACATATTTTTATCGGTGTGTCTAATCTTAGCAGAATTATGATTTGCAAATATACACTTTTACTGTTCACCGTGTGGGGGAAAAGTTATATATAGATGTTTTATTTTAGAGCAAGGGTAATTGTGGCATATAAATACCATGTTTTTTATCTTCACAACTGTGATAATACTTAAAAAATTAACCCATTTAACATTTACGAAAAAAATCAATTCTAATGATTTTTAGGCATCACTTACAATTATGGCCTCTGGCCTATAAAATAGTACTAAAAATTAATGGATTGTAACTGAAATCGGATTGCTTGAATTTTACATTACAGTCCGTCAGAAACAGTGACGTAAATGACATACATATCTGACGTATAATACATACGTCAGAAACGTCGGAAACCCACCCAAAACCATTAGGTTTTTGACAAAATAGCTATTTCCTTTATTCGATTTGAAAACTACGAATGCTTTAATTAAAACCATATAAACTTTCAAAATTTTCTTATCAAAAAGTTTTGCTGTTCTAGTAAGGAATACTCAGATATATGTAAAAATAATACATATTCTTGAAAATAACTGTATATGGTAATAATATTAAAATAAATGGCGTTTACTACATTTATTGCATTTTATACAGGTATATGACGTTTTCGACATTTACACCATTTTGACAGTCGTAAACCTAAAAATTCGTCACACAGACCATCCCTGGACAGAATGCAGCGACGTAGTTGCTTTAATTCTGTATACAAATAATAATTGTATGGACAAAAATCTACTATTATGCAAAAGAGCCGAATCAGAAAGGGTTAAATCGTTATTGTATGGACTTTACCCACAAAATTTTTTTGAACTATAATAAATAATTTCGTCGACGAAATATTTTTTATCTTTTATGATATGTGACCATTATTTAAGTGACGCCAATCGTTGTTAATAACCTAGTTACGAAAATCGCACTATTATTCTATATAGGAAATAGTTGTATTGACAAGGAGGAATTATAGAAAAAAATGTTGAATTTTTTTTAAATTCTTCTCAAAAGTCATGTTTGCAAAATTTTATTTAGGGAGATTTTCTCTTCAATGCGAATCCAAAATAGAAAATTACAGCCTATTAGGTTGAAACACGTGCCAAAACTACCCAAATTACAGACATTTAGGATTTAGTGTTATATGAGGCCTACTATACAAATCCAGAAATCCAAACATTAGCAACACTATTCATATAATATATGAATTATGCTTTTCTGTTTAATTAAATGGAATAAATATTATTTTAGTAGTTAATAGGGTAAAGTTCATTCATTCCTATTATTTTAAATCGTTTTTTAAAAAAATATAACCGTAATGTACACATATTTGTGAAATTCAAAATTAAAATTTATAGAAGGTGCCTAAATGAAAATTGTGATCCGCAAAAAGACATTCATTATAATTTTTTGATCAGGAAATTTTTTCAGAGAAAGCAAAATACAAAATAACTCAGATATCATGAACCTAAATCGCAAACTTTTTGGAAAAGAGTTTTTTATTCGCCGTGATTCCGGAATGGCAAATCATAGCCACTTCAAAGCACCGAAAATGGGCCCAGTTCCTCTTCATAATGGAGTTATGTCAAAAGATGGACCTACATCGAAAAAGTTCGGCAAACATATTTTTAAATTGCAGACAATTTGGCGGGAAAAGGTTCTACACTTTAAAATGGGCAAGAAGGATGAAACCTTTATATGGGGTATATGTCCAAACATACACCTATGTATAAAATTGTCCGCAAAATATATTCTACCCTACAAGAACCCAGAGAATACGTCTAAATTCATCAAAGTTAAGAAGATAGAACAGTACTTTAATATGAGGACTATGTGCTGGTATTAATTCCTTTTAGTGGATAAATTTGACATGCCATTAAAATAAAAAGTTTCAAATTATATTCAATTTGATGGAAAAATTTCGTTCTCTAGACCCTACCCCGAAACATAGACTCACATTGATATTTTTGGTGGGGAAATTTGTATCTAATGAGAATCCAAAATATCAAATTACAGTCAATTCTATTAATTTCTCTTATTCAGTTTCAAGTACTTTTATTTGGCACTTTTTTAAATTGTTTAGCACTTTCTGGCACTTTTTTAAACAAAATGTAGCATTTTTTATCAACACAGTTTTGGCAACACTGACTAGGATACATGTAATCGGTCAAAATCTTTCTATTTTCTAACATGATTTGTTGTCGAAAATTGGGGAATTTTCCAAAAAAAAAACCCATGTCATATGTACACCATTTTTTTTTTAATTTTTGTGTCACGTTAATAATAATCCTACTTCATACCAGAGCGAGATATGTACTCTTTCGAATAACGTTGGAATTTTTGGAATCGGATGTTCCAGTATAATTTTATTTAATTGCAAAATACAACTCCAAAAGAACAAAAATATGTCAATTAATGCTCTTATTAATTGAAATTCAAAATTTACATTTATAGAAGGTGCCTAAATAAAAAGTGTGATCCGCAAAAAAACATTCATTATAATTTTATAACTCAGTTCGGAAATTAGGGGTATTTAAATACACCAACGTTTTATAGGAGCATTAACCTACATATATTGAACATTTTCTGCAAATACGTGTTGGAAAATGTTGCAAGGTAATTTGTATACAAAGTTTTCTTTGATTAGTTTTCTTGATTTAAAAAAAAAATATATATATTTTTTGCACAACGATTTTCTAACCACAGATCTTCAAAAATGTTTAAGAAACCAACGAATAACTTTAAATGAAGCGAAATATATATGTAGAATATTAATCTTCTGGAAGAACGATTTAAAAAATGTAAAAAGACCTCATGCTCAAATAATCTCATTACTGGAATAAAATGTACTAACATATCAAATTTATACATTACTGATTATTCTTCCTCTTCAAAGATAGAAAACATTCGCGCAAATAAATGCAATTGCATAACAGTCGCTTTGTTATCATCAGTTTTGTTGCTAACTTTCAACGCTTTGTCTGGACAACTGATAGTGGACAGAAATGAAGATTGGAAATTCTGATTGATTAAATCGTTCAAATTCAATGCAGCAATCGATTGCTACTATGTATCGGTCTGTTCCCGTACTGCAAGAATCCACTAGATTTTACTATTTTCTTCGATAACATAAAGGAAAATTCGTTATCGTAGTAAAAAGTAGTAGATTCTTGCAGTACGGGAACAGACCATATGTGAATAAAAAAATATTTACAAACAACAACAACATGTTACTGTCATCACACTTACCGTAAACAATTCAAGTGATTTTTTATTTAATTTAGATTCTTCAAAACAAATAGCTTAAATGAAAATGTGAATGAAAGAGATAGCGTTGACAAATAATGACGACACTGGTGATAACTGTTTTTAACAAATTTATTTTTCAGATTCTTTTATTTTATTTATTTTTTGTGAAATGTATGCCGGTTCTTATCTATTCCACCTACCATCTTCATATAGATAAGTAATATTTATATTTTGTACATAATCCAATGTTTTCTATTTATATTTCTCGAAAATGTTAGTGCTTCCATTTCATCGATTCCGATTGTAAAATATTTGCATTTACTAATATGTGCCATAAGCACACACACATTAAATCTTATCATTTTGTATTTGTAAATTTATTTATTTTTCAAAACAATAATACATTGATGAGGTTTCAATATATATGACCCAAGGAATTAAAATTTGCGCAAAACAAAATCTTATCTCTACGAGCGTTTTCTGAACCCATTGGGGGTCTGCAATGTGATGTATGTGTAGTAAACACATTTTGCAATGTATATTTAATACATTAAAAAAGGATTTATTGTTGTAGTTGTACTAGCCAACTTTGAATGTGAAGCAACTAAAAGAAATAAGTAGAAAATTATTTATTTATTTTTTTATACCCTTCACCACACTGTGGTACAGGGTATTATGTCTTTGTGCATATGTTTGTAACAGGCAAAAGGAATCGAGATAGACCTATGGTTCCCTTTTGAGAATATAAACAGAATCACTTTCTGAGTCGATTTATGAATGTCCGTCCCTCCGTCTGTTAAATTGTAAACAAAGTACAGGTCGCATTTATAATCCGATGTGGATTAAATTTGGTACAGCTCATTTATTTGGCCCAAACACGAACCCTATTGAAATTGATTTAGAGAAAATCGGTTCAGATTTAGATATAGCTCCCATATATAGTTTAGCCCGATTTTATGTAAATGGTGCACCAAAGATCCAGGCCGATTGACACAACGTACTGAAGTTAATATAAATTAATATCTGGCAAGTTTCCTTGAAATCGGTTCAGGTATTGATATAGCATAGCTTCCATATATAATTTCGATCTATTCATGTTAATTGAAAACCATCTAATCAATGGATGACTGATTGAGATTAAATTTTAAACTGTGCAGCATACCAAATAGCGTGTGTCAAATTTGCTTTAAATAAATGTCATGTGTAGGGATTGATGCTTGTCGGTTTAGATATAGATAAATATCACATATTTCAGTTCGTACAATTTAATATTCTATTCTATAGCTGATATTGTTTATCTCACTAACCTTAAATTTTGCAGAATATATACTGCACAATAAAATAATTATTTCAATTTGGTACCAAAGTACCGACCATCTAAAGAGTTTTTAGACTAAATATTGTGTGAATATTGTTAAGGCCGTGAAGAGCCAATATTTCTGACAATTTCAAGCGACAAACTGTTGTTAAAATCCCGAAATGAACGGGATCTTTATGTGGGGGTTATATCGCAAACATTTATTTTTCCCTCCAATATCCCGGAATGCCAAATTACAGCGACTACATTGGAAATTGGTGGCTAAAAGCTGGCAATGGGAATCTATCCTTATATAGAGGATATGACGAAACTTGGATCTATTTTGAACATTTTCTGTATATATATGTCAGCATTGAAGACTCATTTAATCCACATCGATGGGAAAGTGCAGATAAAGTCTTACAAATACTGCAAATGGGTCGTTACCGTAATACGGAATCTATACAAAACGTAAATCATTAGTGATAATTTCTGGTTGGATCGTTTGACATCTCATGATAACCGAAATATTAAAGCCAGTTCGGTTGAAAACATGCCCAAACTCCCCAAAATACCTTATAATTGGGGTAGCATTATATTACGGCTACACGAAAACTTAGGTCAATATCACTATATTTTGGTAGTATTCATAAAGACTAGGATCACTTTTATTAGTATTAGTGTGAGTTAGCATCAATACCCGCTAGCAAAAGGCACTATTTCGTAATCAGAACTCGTTCTCCAGTGACTAGTTCTGCTTTACACCCCTTAACAACACATTTAACTGTTTACTTTAACATGGGAATGTCGTAGGAGGTAACAAATTGACACTCACTCCCTTACAGTCAAAGACTAATTACATTAGACTACAAACCTCAACCAACCTTGCTATCCCAACCTCTGACGAAGGCCGTTGCATTTTGTTATATAATGTCTCTGGTCCTTACCAACTTAAGTTTGGCTGTCACGCATTTAGAGGCAATGCTTGCTATTAAACTATTGTATTATTATTGGCCGCATCCATCGTCTTATGGGTCTTTATGGGTTTCTTTTTAATTTCCCGGACGAACTATTTTCATCGATCGTGGCATAGCATCACTCTTCTCCATAGCGCCTCCTGGCAACCTTTGCATATTGTTGTTACTCTCTACTACTTTCGTAAAGCCCGCTTAGTTCTTTGCAATTCCCGGTCGAAAGATTCCGATGCAGTAGTCTTATTCTTGATATTAAAACCAGCTTCGCCGCCCACAGTCGATGGATTCTCGAGGCAGTCTCCCTTTACAACATCCTGACAATTAACGCCTTTGTGTCCCAAATAAATGTTTTTTCTTTCTTGTTGTGGGCTTGGCTATATCCTTGCTCACATCCTCTACCATATTATCAAGCTCCTCGCTACTCCGGCATTTTAAGACGGTTATGTTAGTCTTATCCTCGTGTACAGGCTCGGAATTTGAAGTTGATTCCCCGTCTGTCTCGTAAGCTTAGGTCGAGATTGCTTTTCCCTTGTGGTTCTAGAACTAAGATCCTTTTATATTCCTTCGTATACAGATGCCAAAACACCCACAGGAAATGTATCATCACTCCCTTTCCCCTATCCCCCTGGAGTTGCGCCAGTTAGGAGATTGACAACTCACTTGCTTATTTGGTCTTAACATTCTCCTCTAGGTGACGCGATATCCTGTCATTCCTTTTTAGTCCTCCTCCGCAGGGATTCGAACCGGTTTTTAATCTGACAAAAATTACATTTACTTACGGGCCATGAATTCATGTGACCTTAAAGTAGGTCCCACTAGGGTAAATTTTAAGACATTCCTCTTTGATAAAAAATAATTTAATAAGTTCTTTCTTTTTTAAATAGGTGCACGATTTGACCGCATTATAATTGTAACGTCAAACTAAGGGCATTATGCATAAATTTAATTATATTTAAGAACACAAAATCTGACTCAAGAGAGTCACCCGAGTATCAAATGACTGCACGGAAGTTCTTTAAGATGTTAAAATGTTCCACATTTATTCAACATATTTATAACCTATTTAATTTTGTTCATCATTTCAGGTTGTCGATCCCAATCCCGATCCAGAATGTACCCTTCTAACATATCTGCGCGACAAGCTGCGTCTGTGTGGCACTAAATTGGGATGCGGCGAAGGTGGTTGTGGTGCCTGTACGGTGATGATCAGTCGTGTCGATCGCGCCACAAATACCCTTAAACATTTGGCCGTCAACGCCTGTCTAACACCAGTCTGTGCGATGCATGGCCATGCGGTAACAACCGTCGAAGGTATTGGCAGCACACGAACACGTCTTCACCCAGTACAAGAACGTTTGGCCAAGGCGCATGGTAGTCAATGTGGTTTTTGTACACCTGGTATTGTAATGTCCATGTACACTTTGTTGCGCAACTCGGAACAACCTTCAATGAAAGACTTAGAAGTGGCATTCCAAGGAAATCTGTGTCGTTGCACCGGATATCGTCCAATTCTGGAGGGTTACAAAACATTTACCAAGGAATTTGCCTGTGGCATGGGTGATAAGTGTTGTAAGGTGAATGGCAACAACTGTAATGGTCAAGAGAATGGTGTCTCCCTGGTGGATGATAAACTATTTGACAAAAGTGAATTTGTCCCCCTGGATCCAAGTCAAGAACCCATATTTCCTCCAGAATTGCAATTGAACACACAATGGGAATCGGAAACTTTGGTGTTTAAGGGTGAACGTGTTACTTGGTATAGACCCACGACGTTGGAGGAATTACTGAAATTAAAAGCAGAATATCCTCAGGCGAAAATTGTGGTTGGCAACACTGAGGTTGGTGTGGAAGTCAAATTCAAGCATTTCCTGTATCCGGTTCTTATTCAACCTACCAAAGTTTCGGATTTGGTTGAAGTCAAAGAGAACGATGACAGTGTTTACTTTGGTGCCTCCGTGAGCTTGGTTGATATTGAAAAGTATCTAAGAGAACTTATGGAAAAATTACCCGAACATCAAGTCCGATTCTTCCAATGTGCTGTCGATATGTTACACTACTTTGCTGGCAAACAAATTCGTAGCGTGGCTTCGCTGGGTGGCAATATTATGACTGGCAGCCCAATTTCCGATATGAATCCTGTTCTAATGGCAGGTTTGGTAAAATTGAAGGTTGCCAAATATGCCGATGGCAAAATTCAATATCGAGATGTTATTATGAATTCGAAATTCTTCACGGGTTATAGAAAGAATGTCCTCGAACCCCAGGAAGTTTTGGTGGGTATTCATTTCCCCAAAACGCTGCCCAATCAGTATGTCGTCGCATTTAAGCAAGCCAAACGTCGTGATGATGATATTGCAATTGTCAATGCCGCTGTGAATGTCACTTTTGAACCGAATTCGGATCGTGTGCAAGAAGTGTCGATGGCTTTTGGTGGTATGGCTCCCACCACAGTTATGGCAGTACGTTCATGCGAAATGATGGTGAAACAGCAATGGAATCGTGTCCTCATGGAACGTGTTGTGGAGAATCTTTGTGCTGAATTACCATTGGCCCCCACTGCTCCAGGAGGCATGATTGCCTATCGCCGTTCGCTGGTAGTGAGCCTCTTCTTCAAAGCCTACTTGAAAATATCCCAACAAATGATGAAGGATGGTGTTTTGCCCAATGACTTCTTGTCGGAAGATGAAATAAGTGGTGGAGAAGTGTTCCACACTCCAGTCTTAAAGAGTTCTCAGCTCTTCGAAAAGGTCTCCTCCACACAAAGTCAATGTGATCCTGTGGGCAGACCCAAGGTTCATGCCTCCGCTTTCAAGCAAGTAACCGGAGAAGCAATGTATTGTGACGATGTTCCGCGTACCGAAAATGAGTTATATTTGGCCTTGGTATTGAGTACTAGGGCCCATGCAAAAATTTTGAATATTGATGCCACCGAAGCATTGGCCATGCCCGGAGTTCACGCTTTCTATTCGAGCAAGGATATAACGGACCATGAAAATGAAGTGGGTCCGGTATTCCATGATGAGGTAGTCTTTGCCAAAGATGTGGTCCATTGTCAGGGACAAGTTGTGGGTGCTGTGGTGGCCGACAGTCAAGCCTTGGCCCAGAGAGCTTCTCGTAAAGTGAAAGTAGAATATGAGGATATCACACCAGCAATTATAACCATTGAACAGGCCATTCAACACAAATCCTATTTCCATGGCTACCCATGGTATGCCGGCACGGGAGATGTCGAGAAAGGTTTCGCAGAAGCTGAACACGTGTATGAAGGCTCCTGCCGCATGGGAGGACAAGAACATTTCTATTTGGAAACTCATGCTTCATATGCTGTACCAAAAGATTCGGATGAGATTGAAATCCTTTCCTCTACACAACATCCCTCCGAAGTACAAAAACTTGTTGCCCATGTCCTATCGCTGCCAGCCCATAAGGTAGTGTGTAAAGCTAAAAGATTGGGTGGTGGATTTGGTGGCAAAGAATCCAGATCAATTGCTGTTGCCTTGCCCGTAGCATTGGCATGCTATCGCCTCAGGAGACCCATACGCTGCATGTTGGATCGTGATGAAGATATGATGATCACCGGTACCAGACATCCATTCCTTTTCAAATACAAAATCGGCTTTACATCCCAAGGTCGTTTGACAGCCCTCTCCATTGAATGCTACACCAATGCCGGTTGGTCTATGGATCTATCATTCTCCGTCATGGAACGGGCCGTCTATCACATTGAGAATTGTTATAAGATACCCAACATCAAGGCAGCCGGATATGTGTGCAAAACGAATTTACCTTCCAATACTGCATTCCGTGGTTTTGGTGGACCTCAGGGTATGTTTGCTGCCGAACATATTATACGTGATGTAGCTCGCATCCTCAACAAGGATGTATTGGACATAATGCGTATCAATTTCTATAAACCCGGTGATAGAACGCACTACAATCAGCTTTTGGAAGATTTCCCCGTAATCAGATGCTTCGAGGACTGCCTCAAGCAATCGAATTACGCCCAAAAGAAACAAGAAATTGAGGAATTCAATAGGAAAAATCGTTACCGCAAACGTGGCATTGCCGTAGTCCCTACCAAATATGGTGTAGCTTTTGGTGTTAAATTTCTAAATCAAGCTGGAGCTTTGATAAACATCTACACGGATGGGTCAGTACTCCTGTCCCATGGCGGTGTTGAAATTGGCCAGGGTATACACACCAAAATGATACAATGTTGTGCCAGAGCTTTACAAATCCCCTATGAATTGGTTCATATTTCCGAAACTGCCACCGATAAGGTACCAAACACCTCACCCACAGCGGCCAGTATGACCTCAGATCTCAATGGTATGGCCATCTTGAATGCTTGTGAAAAACTCAATAAACGTCTGGCACCCATCAAAGAAGCCAATCCCAAAGGTACTTGGCAGGAATGGATTCAAACCGCCTATTTGCAGAGTATTAGTCTCTCGGCGACAGGTTATTATAACTTGGAAACTGTCGATTACCATCCCGTGGATAATCCAACAGCTCAGCTGTACAGCTATTTTACCAATGGTGTTGGTATAACTGTTGTCGAAGTTGATTGTCTGACCGGTGATCATCAGGTTTTGAGTACCGATATTGTTATGGATATTGGTTCAAGTTTAAATCCAGCCATTGATATTGGACAAATTGAGGGCGCATTTATGCAAGGTTATGGCTTATTCACCTTGGAAGAGTTGATCTATTCTCCGACTGGTACTTTGTATTCGCGAGGTCCGGGTATGTACAAAATTCCTGGTTTTGCTGATATTCCCGGTGAATTTAATGTTACCCTATTGACGGGTGCTCCTAACCCAAGAGCTGTTTATTCGTCGAAGGTGAGTTTGGGGAAAGTAAATATTAAGAGAGTGGATATTAATAGAGAATTTGTTTTTTAGGCTGTGGGAGAACCCCCACTGTTCATTGGCAGTTCTGCCTTCTTTGCCATTAAGGATGCCATTGGCAATGCCCGTGAAGCAAATGGCCTCAGCAGAGATGTTAAGTTGGAATCTCCTGCAACTGCTGCGCGCATTCGTATGGCTTGCCAGGATGATCTCACTAAATTGGTAAGCACTTATGCATTTACATCAATTGTTAAAAATATTCCCTATTACCAAGTGCCAACTCTATCAATGTGTATTTGAAGATTTAAGTAGAAGATAAATTAAGAAAATTACTGGAATATTCGAATCTCAAAATTTCAACACAAATAGAAAGAGCACACAACTGGCTCTGTTATGAACTAGGATAATTGACTTCGCTCAAAAATTACAAAAAGACGAAAACTAGCGGAACCTTTAGTGGAGGCTATTTAAAAAATCTACACCATCCAAAAATTCGGCGTGTCAATTTACCAAAGCATAGATGAAACCTGTGAGCGGATCGGTATAGTCAGACCGGCCGACCATATGGTACCCTACCACTACTTTAATCTTTTACGGATCTATATTCCGAGCCTGGGCGATACTTCACGATAACCGAAACCTCATGTTCAATTTTTGTGATCAACGCGACATTTCGCCTTCCAGTGTGGCAATCATAATACTAATAAAATCAAAATACGTATACACCCGTAATTATGTTAGTATAACTCTCACATCCGAGTACCTACAACAATATAATTGGTATCAATTTAAAGGACAACAACTCCAAAAGGATATAATATCCACTTCTCGGATCTATGTTCTCCAAATATATACGCCAGAGAATAAAAATTTTACAATTGTCCACACATAAGTCTGGGTCATTTTATCCGCTAAATATTGACCGATCTTCATCAAAACAGTCATGCTAATTCTACGGTCAGACCCCTTTCGTGATGTTCAGCCTCCAAAATAACGATAATAGAGCGTGATCTTTATCATCTAAATTTGTCAGGGCTTGTCAGAACATGACCCTATATTAAATATTTTCTGCAAAGATGTTTTGCGCCCGCCAAGAACTCGGAATAGCATATTACAGCTACAGAGGTTTAAAATGGGGCTAAAACCTTCAAATGATTTTTGCCGTAATAAAATGTTATGGTGACTAACACTTTATGGGTTCTCTGTGAATATAAAAGAATTACACTTTGCTTTTGTTTGTCATAAATGTGGGTACAATTTTTACTAGTTCCCTGCATAGAAGAACTCTCAATAATAAATCGCAATATTACAGGAACTGAAACTCAACATATGTTTGTAAAGATTTTATATGAACCGACATAGGGAAACCCCTAAATTTGACAGTAACCTTCAATGAATAAATAAATTTCATATAATACGAATACAAGTAATTTTGAAAAAAATACGGAATTGCTGGCCTCTCTTAAAATCTATTATTTATATTTAAAACATAAATAACTGTAGTATCCCAAGTGTGATCAAGTTTTTAAAAGTAATCCTAAACAAATATTTTTATTATTTCTCTATTTACAGATTGATATACCTTCTGCCGATACCTATACTCCCTGGAATATTGTGCCATAAATGAGGATTACCACGAAGCGGTGTCTACCTTAAATTCATACTCATAAAGACAGCTTTATTACGTTCAAAACGGCTTAGCCACAATATATATACATATATATTATATCACAATATAGAAAAATTATAATGCTTAGAAACAAATAAATATACATTTATATATATAAAAAATAAATTCATTGTTAAAAAAAAACTTCATTTTAAAATTAAACTGAGAATAACGCGTTGTTTCACCATGGAACTACAATTCATTGTAACCTGTATGTCACCGGTGAGTGACATCTATTATTTATATTATGTACTACTACCAAGTATAACGACAAACACTCCTCAAAGTATGCTTTAAAAAAGTACATATAATATTCGCCTTATGAAGCGAATTCAGATTTTTAAAAATATACTGTTTGAGCACAAAATATACGGTTATTCATAATTCATAACGAAAATAATTAGTTAATAATTATTTTAATTTACAACGCTGTTCAACAAGATTTTTGGGGTGTGGAAGACTCCTTAAGCAAATTCTCAATGTCGTTATTATTTCGTTGTGTATATGTTTCTTTTGAAAATATGAATAGAATCGCACATACATGTCACATTTATGACCCGAATGCGATGCAATTTGGCACAGGTCACTTATTTCACCCAAGGACTAACCCTATTGCAATTGGAGAAAATCGCTTCCATATATATGTTTTGTTTGGTACCACAATAGTTCACCAAATTATCATATATATTTTCGTCCAAAAATTTGGGTCTTCGATGGACCATATGCATCAAGTCCATCGAAGACCCAAATTTTGTCCGAATCAAACAAATTTTTTTTTCGAATGTATCGAAATTGGTTTAGAATCTGTTAAATTTCAGATTAATATTTTCGACCGATTTCATCTTGTTCATGTAATATTTAACGTTTCTGCGAAAATTTCATCGCAAATTTTGCCCAATGTTCCAAATTGAGACTAGAATGACGAGAATTGGGATGATTGAGATGAAGAGGTTTCTTTTATGGAGTTCGGTTTTTCTTACTTATATAGCTGGCTTGTGACAGAAACTTTCGTTCAATAAGCCGAGCTTAGAAAAATTTCCTTAGAAAAGATTTTCCAATTTAAAAGGCCATTTTCGGCGATGTTGTCTTCGACTTGATCTTTCTAACGTATTCTTGGCCTTCCCCTTCTGCGTGAACCATCAGCTGGTTCGCTTTTATATGCCTTCTGGGCTTGGCCATCTTCATCATAGTCGCTGCAGCTCAATACGTCTAACAATGTCGATGTCCAAGAATAGCTGGTACAACTCATGGTTCATTCGAAGGCGATATTCACCGCCAACTCAGATCGGCCCATAAACACTCCAAGAGCTGCCTCATCTGCTTGCGTAAGTACCTATGCTTCAGATCCGTATAACAGCACGGGTAGTATCAGCGTCTTGTAAAGTGTGTGTTTGGTCTGGCGGGAGGTGGCCTTGCTTTTGAGTTGTTTGCTCAGACCATAGTTGGCCATCACTATCCTTCTCCGAATTTCAAAACTGATGTCATTCGTTTTATTTATGGCGGTACGAAAGTATATAAAATCTTTGACTACCTCGAAGCTGTAGTTCAGTTGGTCCGAGTCTACTGGACGTCTTGCGCGTTGATACCATCAGTTTGGTCTTCTCGCCGTTTACTGCCAGACCCACTTTGGCAGACTCCTTCTCAATTTGTTCAAAGGTGGATGTTACCGCTCGCAATGTTCGACCCATTATGTCGATGTCATCGGCGTAGGCGAGTAACATGTGTCGTTTGGTGTACAGAGTTCCATTTATGTTCACGTTTGCCTCTCGTATGACCTTTTCCAGCATGATGTTAAAAAGGTCACACGACAAACTATCAACTTGTCTGAATCCTCGTTCGGTATTAAAGGGCTCCGAGAGGTCATTTCCGATTTTAACTGCTGATCTTGTGCTTGTTAAAGTTATCCTGCATAGCCGAATTAATTTTGCAGGAATGCCAAATGCAGACATGACTTTATACACCTCTGAACGGATAGGGCTGTCGAATGAGGCCTTATAGTCGACGAATAGGTGGAATGTGTTTTTAGTGGGATTTTTCCAGGATTTGGCGCAGAGTGAAAATCTGGTCAATGTTGGATTTGCAGGTCTGAAGCCACATTGGTATGGTCCAATAAAGTCATTGACCATTGGCTTCAGTCGTTCACACAGTACGCTGGATAGAACTTTATATGCGATGGGAAGCATACTTATTCCTCTATAGTTGGCACATATCGTCTTGTCTCCTTTTTTTGTGCACGGGGCGCAGGAGGCTGAGATTCCAATCATTGGGCATGCAATCTTCTAGCCAAATTGTACTAATGTGCATGTTCCTTACCAGCATCTGACAACCAGTCTTGAATAGTTCGGCTTGTAACCCATCGGCACCTGCTGCTTTATTATTCTTCAGCCGATTGATTGCTATTCTGACTTCATCTTGTCTAAGTGATATACACTCTATACCGTCATCTATTATTGGTTCTGGGGTATCCACTTCACTGCTACTATTTGATACCAGAAGTTTTTCAAAATGCTCCTTGCAGATCCTCAGCACGCTGTCTGTATCTGTCACCAGGTTTCATTCTTTATCTCTACAGGAGGATGTGCCTGCACCAAAGCCTTCGATTTGGTGTTTTACCCGTTGGTAGAATTTTCGGACTTCATTGTGACTCCTGTACATCTCGATTTGCTCACGCTCACGTTTTCTTGCTCTTTCTTCTTTTTTTCTGAAAATACGGTTCTCCTCTCTCCTTTTCTCCCGATAGTTCTCCATCGCATTACGTGTTGCTACTTGCCCTATACGCTGCGTTTTTCATATTAGTAGCGTTACGACACTCCTGATCGTACCACGTTCGGTCTATTTACAAGAATTATGAAGTAATTGATAGGATAGTTTATACTAATGTGTTGAAAACGCTTTAGTTCTCTCAGCTTGTTTGAGTGTTTCAGCTTGAAAATAACCTCAAGCATACACTGTCAAAAACCACGGCCACAACAATTATCAGATCTTCACACTATGGAAAAATATTTTAGGTATCATAGATAGCAAAAAGAGTTTCACAAACAAACATAACCTCTCATCAAAAACTTCAGGATGGGAGGAATAGTATATCCAAGCATCACATTGAGCGTCTTATAGATTCAATTCTTCTTAGGTATGCTGTCGTAATCAAAAATAGTGGTTACGATGTCGATTACTAGCTCAATTTACTTATTTAAAAGAAAAAATCAAAAAGTTAGTTGTGACCAAGCAAAAATTAATTGAGCCAATTTTTGATTGAAAGATTGACTATGTAAAGACTGTTTTTTATTTCGAAATAAAGTTTGTGTTTATATTTTTTGATTTTGTTTTTTTAAGTAAACAAATTACCTATTTACAGTACATTTATTAAGTTTGCAATTTTAGTGCACCTATAAATATAATACGTGTATTTTATTTTGTCAGTTTTTATGTCAGAGTTAGGCATCCATTTAACAAAAAGTACATGGTTCGTTGAGGTCCAAATGATATATCCAGTCGATATAAGTATAAAATGGATTACATATTAGGAAAATATGGAGGAATCGACCCCTGGTTTTTGTAATAATTTTAGAAATCAATCCCAAATCTAGATTTTTTTCTTTTAAGAATTTACCAATGAAATTTCTTATTTTAATAGCAATTTTATTCTTTTCTAAATTGAGTACGCATACATAAACATATTTTGATAAATATAACCCTTAAAATTATGTATATATAATGCAGTTGATATGAATTTTATTAATGACTTTCAATGTAAATAATATTAAAAGAAAAAACTTGATTATTTCAGTCTTCTGTATTGGTATCCACATTTGAAATGTCCTCTCCACGCAACGGTTCATAAGGTTGACTGTTTCTGTAAGAAACATAAATTGAATTAGAATATTTATATGTAAACAAATTTAAAGAGGCTATTTAGGACCCCCTCCTAACGCTATCACAATCGACAAATATTTTTATTTCCACATCCTGAATACTAATAAGAGAATATTTGAGGCGTTCAGTACACACTTTGATTAACTTCATTTTTTGAAAAATCTTAAATTTAAGTGTCAAACTTTGCATATTTATAAACCCAGGACCTTCTAGTTTAATCTTCAATTTTTTACTATTAGAAAAAATGTACCAAAGCTTTGTGCAAAATTTGAGAATTTGAAATGCGCAAGGACATTATAATTGCAAATATAACCTTTTAAATGAAGGCTGAGTATATGTCAATGACTATGCTCGCCATGGACGCCCTAGTAGAATCCTCGAATAACTATTAAAGAGTTTGCTGATGGTGTTGCATATCGCACATTTGCTTCTAGACCGGCATAAATCAAAATTCGTGATTTTTGAGTTAATGACGCAGAATTGTTCGCTTTATCTATAATTTCCTCTGTTCAGTGCGAGTCAATTGCAAACTTAAAACGTATTTTCTGCAATGTCGATTTTTTTATTTACGCCGGTCTTGCAGAAAATGATCGAAATGGTTCGGCTCATGCGAAGCAATTTTTACAGATGAATAATCTTATCGAGATTAACTAATAAAGGTCATAGCTGGTGCCGAATCATGACTGTATGACTGTGACATTGAAACTAAACCCCAAACATCCCGCTGGAAACGTCCAGAAGATGTAAAGGTTTTGCAACCTACACAACTATGTTGTAAGGGTATTACATTAGGTTGGGGAAAAATAAATCCATTATTTTTATATGAACTATAGACATTATTTAACATACATCGGGATGTCCGGTTTGGGCCAAATATGCACCGTTTTGTTGTATGATTTGTTGCCATGAGTTGTTGACAGTAGAGATCAGATTTTAGCGTTTGACCATATGGAAGCACCTGATAGTAAATAATCCCCTTACAGTCCCATCAAATGCATAGCAGAACCTCCCTGGTCACCGTTTGAGGTGCTTTACCACTCTTTGACCACGATCGATTCCGCACAGGGTTATCGTATGTGATCCATTTCGAATATCCAGTCACCATCCGTATAAAAAATGGGTCCATCTCATTTCGTTTGGACAAGGCTTCGCAGATGGCAATTCGATCCACCATTTTTTTTTTTTTTTTGTTAATTGGCACCCAAACATCGAGCTTCTTTTTGAATCCAGCTTTGTGTAAATGGTTTAAAACAGTTTTATGGTCGATTTTTAGCTACCGGGCGATGTTACGACTGCTAACATGCCGCTCAACTTCGAACATTTCTCCGATTTTGTCGACATTTTCATAATGGATTTATTTTCCCCCAACCTAATGGCATTGTGTGGTCCCGAAGTTTGCATGTAGAACCGGTTCTGGACAAGGAAGACCTCTATTGTTTTTGGTAGTGATCAGTTAATTTTTGGGGGTCGCTCTAGAGTCCACTATTATGACCAGAACACAACAAACTGAGGAGAGTATATAGTCTATGGGTAGCTAGTTTCGAACTGTTTGGAGTTCTACTGGAAATAGTATGAGCTATGAGAATGAACGAAGGTCTTCAGTAGCACGGATGTCAGGGGCTCCAAGATCAGCGGATTTAGCCTACCAATTTACGCCAAAATCATGGAAAAAGTTACGACTTGGCGTGGAATTCCGCTCCGCTCCTTATACAAGAAGGTAAAAACATGGGATAAATTGATACCTTCACATTGGTGCTTACGGTTAGACCACAAAGTAGGTATCATCACTGTATCACTGTCCAAAGTATAGTCGGTATATACGTCCTTACCATATTGTTTTTATCAAAATACAGTATAATATTAATATTATACTCTATAACCATGCAGTTCACCATAAGAGGATATCAAAGTTTGGATCAAATCGTATCTTCAGCGCGATTCCTATCATATTTACATGTTTTCGAAATGTCGACCCTTTGTTGGAGATGTATAACAAATATGAAGTCCTTTTTCGCTCTAAACATGGGATTGGCAGAAATCTGAAATTTAAGGTGCCTTCACGTCTTACTCGTAATTATATACCGCTAAATCGTCCTTTAGTGAGATCCAATTTTGAGCTACCTAATACTCATAGATCACTATGTAATATATATAGTAACTTGTACAATCGTATTTCAATGTCTGATCCTATACATTTTATCAAAAATGCTATTCTACATATAGATCTATAGATGACAAATAGTTGCCAGATGTTTTTCCTTCGTGTAGTTAGTTTGTCTCTGTCCTTTCTGTAGTTAGTTTAAGTAATTTAATTTATAAACTGGCTGGTGTTTTACTGTAGCCGGTGTTTCGCTACATTACTAACTCTCCATAATCCGGATTATGGGGTGTACTCTCTCCCTACGTTATGGGGAGGTGGCCCCTCAGTCGGCACGGCCGGGTAAGAGTGGCGTTTGGGTACGATCGAAAAAAAAACATATTTATGATCCGAATCGATATTTTCGAACATATATTTTTATTATCAAATATTCTACTTTACCTGGGTTAAAACAATTAAAATTGCACACATACACAAAAAAATAATCATAAAATTTTTTTATTAATTTTTTATTTGATGATAATAAATTGTATTTTGGGAATCTTCTTTATGATTGGTGTCCGAAACAGTTTGGAGTTTTAATGAAATATCGCAATCATAAATTTTAGGCATTGGAACTAAATTAAATTTGCAAGAATCACAAATTTCAGGATATACAGGATAACTGGGGCTAAATGTAAAAGGGCAAAATTCAACTATTAGAATGTGTATGGTTTCTAAAAGAATATTTCAACGAAAGAGGCTTAATATGTAATTACAAACAAGCATTTGCGTAGATAGTCTGGACGATTTTCCTATATTCTCCAGAAACGGTGTAAACGATCCACCATCTACGCCAATGCTTCTCAGAAACTTACTATAAGGTAATTTATACAACACACAGAAAGCTAAAAATACAACGTGTGCAAATAATAATAAAAAACGTAAAACATGTTTTTAAAATATATATTTTCCATTTTAAAATACATTTTTCCATTAAAAATATACAATTATGAATAATAATAAAAATAATTTACAATGTAACTAACTAAAGTAATAAGCACAGACACTATTAAATATCGTATATTGTATACTAATTACAATCAATTGAAATACGTACAATTTACTTAAAAACAATAACAAAACATGAAATCTAAAGACATAAACCCCAAAAAAATAAAAACAAATAAATTCTATGTATTGCTTTTTTAAATAATAATAAATTTAAGCTGCATTTTGTTCAATAACGGATATCTTAGAATCCTTAATGTTGGGTGTGGCTGAGGTTGCGACCACAGACTCCACGGTTTCATTTGATTTTGTAATGTCAGCGGAATGCCTAAAAATGATTTGGAATATTTACAATAAAAAATATGTTTGAATAAAATCTTTAGAAGCGGAGTAGTTGAAAGCGAAACAATAGATGGGACAGTGAGAAGATGTGAAAAGTCATGTAGAATAGATTTAAATTTGAAAAAAAATAATGAAAATATAACTTACGAAAAATATTTATAATGCTTCTGGGAAATGGGTTTATATTGATTGCAAAATGAACTCGTTTTCTTTGAATGTTAATTTTAGTGAAAATGATCGATGGATTATTATTTTGCATTTTAGTAAATTTCCAATTTTGCTGCCAATTTATATTTACCACAAAAGAAAATTGTGCCACTGAATGAGATGATAAATTCAAATAAATATTAAAATAATAAGTTTTGAAGAACTTACTTAAAAAAGTAAAATAATTGTAAAGAGTGCCATATATGGTAAGCATATTAGTATTTAGGAACTTAATAACTAAATCAGTGTTATTAAGAATATAACCAATAACAAGGGGACAAAAATAAAATGGGGCGCCCTGTATAGGCTATCATATGGTTGTCCCAGCCTTGAATTTATACAACAAGTGCTTTAAAAATTTTAATGTAATCCTTTATAAGTAGATCTCGATTTGTTACATTTTATTATCCGATTGGACTCAAATTTTGTATTTGGGACGTGCATGCATTTTTTATTTTTTATTTTTCATCCGATTGGACTCAAATTTTGTATTTAGAAGTTTCATGGTTTAACTATTCGATATTTCAGGTTATAATAGGAATATGCATATTATGCAAACATGTTATGCAATGCATTAAAATTAGAAACAAATATGAACCGATTTTCACCAGTTTCAATAGGGTTTTTTCCCTAGGCCAAATAAATCAACCCAATATTTGGGTTCGCAAAATAACCGACCTAAAGGAATGTGAATGGAAAAGACTGAAATGCTTCACCAAGTACAATACATTACTATGTATAATCTAAGGGATACAACATCGCAAGATTGGTTTTTCTAATATTTCTTCATTTCTAGACCGCACAACTCCAAAAACTCAAATTGTACCAAATTAGTACAATATAACACTCATAAGTATAATTTTCCAAAATTACATCCCATACCCCAATCCTACACCCAACAATGGTCCTAACTCCAAATTTCAGGATTTCAGATCTATCGATTCACCCCAAATTTAAATTGTACCAAATTTTTAGTACGCATTTCCAAAACTTCCTACATAGACCAATCTTACATCACAGCAGTTATCCTAACCTCAAATTTCAAGATTCCAGCTCTATCGATTCACCCAAAACTTAAATTGTACCAAATTTAGTACACATTAGTACGAATATCAAAAAATTCCTACATACTTCAATCCTACGCCACAGCAATGAATCTAACTCTCAATTTAAGATCCTAGCTCTATCGATTCACCCAAAGTCCAAATTGTACAAAATATAGTACCATTTAGTCATTTTCACCGGTAGAGCTAGAACCTTGGATTGAGGGTCACTGATGGAGTGTAGAATAGATATAGCAAAGGGTTTTTTGGACATTCGAACTATAAGTATGCGAAAAGTACTAACATTTACTAAATTTGGTACAATTTCGTAGCATGTGAATGGATAGAGCTAAAAACTTGAAATTTGGAATGCGAATAAGGGTGGAGATGTAGGGTATATTTAAGGAGGTGGTTTTGAAAGCGTGTACTCATGTGTACTAAAAGTACTATATGGTACTATATTTGGTACAAATTTAAGTTGGAGATACAAATCGAGCTGGAATCCTGGAATTTGAAATTAACATTAACGTCGGAGTGTAGGATTGAGATATGAACGTAGTTTTGGAAATGGGTACTAAATTTGGTACAATTTGAATTGTGGGTGAACCAATAGAGCTAGAATCATGAAATTTGGAGTTAGAATGAGGTGTAAGATTGAGATATGTAAAAGTTTTAGAAATTTGTACTAATGTATACTAAATTTGGTACAATTTAAATTGTGAGTGAACCGATATAGTTGGAATCCTGAAACTTGGATTTGGGATCACTGTGGGGTGTAGGGTTGGGGTATGTAGGAAGTTTTAGAAATTTGTACTAACTTTGGTACAATTTAAATTGTGGGTGAAGCGATAGAGTTGGAATGCTGAAATTTTGATTGAGGATCACTGTGGAGGTGTAGGAATAGGGTATGTAGGAAGATGTCAAATTGGCACTACTATGTACTAAATTTAGTACGATTTGATTTGTGGGTGAACCGATAGAGTTGGAATCCAGAAATTTTAATTTAAGAACACTGTGGAGTTGTAGGATTGGGGTATGTAGGAATATTTGGAAATTAGTACTACTATCTACTAAATTTAGTACAACTTGAATCGAGGGTGAACCGATAGAGTTGGAATCCTAAAACTTGAATTTAGGATCAGTGTGAGGGTGTAGTATTGGGATAGAAGAAATTGATACTACTGTGTACTAAATAGAGTCCTGAAACTTGGATTTAGGATCAGTGTGGGGGTAGGATTGGGGCATGTAGAATATGTTGTAAATTGGTACCACTATGTACTAAATTTGGTACAATTTGAATTGTGGGAGAACCGATACAGTTGAAATCTTGAAACTTGGATTAAGGATCACTGTGGGCGTGTAAGTTTGTGTTAAGTATGATGTTTTGGAAATTCGTACTACTGTGTACTATATTTAGTACAATTTGAATTGTGGTTGAACCAATAGAGTTGAAAGTCTGAAATTTGAAATTTTGTAGGATCGGGGTATGCAGGAAGTTTTGTTGGATGGTTGAGGAAGGTACTTATGGAAATAATGCGTGCTAAATTAAGCTAAATTTTGTAAAATTTGGATTTTGGTGAACCTTTAGAGTTCGAAACATGAAATTTGGTACTAAAATGTACTCAAATTCAATTATGGTCGATATTAATGTGTGGAATATTTAGTTTTTCTGGCATATGCAGTTCTCTGTGAAAATAAAATAATATGTTAATACATGCTTTAATATTACACACATTCGCTAACGAAGTAGCGGGCATATGCTAGTAAGGTATAATTGCTAAGCCAAAGCAACGTTTGCCGGGTCAGCTAATTATATATAGAAGTAAAGATTAAAATTTTACTATATCACTATAAAAAAGGTTTATGTTTTTTTTTTAATTTTTTACATAAACATATTTGTAGTCTTTTGTATGATACTTTTGTTTTTTTTAGGAAATCTCTTATGAGCTTTTGGTTAATTATATGAATATGAAAAATAATGTGTGTATTTGTGTATGTGTAAAATTGTTAATCCTTAACCCAGGTATAGTAATGGTAATATGTACATATGTAAGAATTTGTTATATGTAATGTAATTCATATATGCAAATAATTTTGTCATTTTAACATACCTATAAAATACGTAATGTTGCAACATAAAGAATACATCGAATAATACTGAGAACAGACCCAAGCCAAATTTGGTTGGATCTCCAAATATTGATACCCAATCATCTATAAAAAAATACACAAAGAAAAAATATTTTACCTGTAATTTTGAACAAAATTTCGGATATTACTCACCATAATTATAGGCATTAAGTATCATTTGCAGCATACTCAGTACACCGCCGGTGAAATCCAATAACACATTACCAATGCTCCAGCCAACCGTTGATTTGCGGCGATAATTCATGAGAGCCTAAAAAAGAAAATAATCGAATATAAATATCAAGAAGAAATGTGAATCCCATAATTAGTTCAGAACTCTAAGTGGTCTGACAACCTTTGTATCTGATAACCTAGGTTCGAACCTTAGCCTCAACTTCGATAATTCCTCTTCAATTAATAACATAGGCCTATAATCTTCTATACATTCCAAAAGATGGAACTCACCTGAGGTACATATTTAATAATAGTGATTGTCAGCTTAATATAACTACAGTAGTACATGAAATCCAACCAATGGAAAACATTTCCAGCCGCCAAACCTGCACATACAATAACAACAACAGCAAACAAACTCAAGAGACCAGTTGCAACGCGAGAAATTCGCTGATCTCCACGCTATAAAGAAATATAAAAATTCAAAACCCAATTCTGGATGAAATCCATCAGTCTTCTTACCTCATAGACGAAACACTGATATATGGTAATACAGGTGGCAAACATGGCATGCAATGAGAACACAACATCGTTCAACATGACCGGATTCAAACCACGTGGATGACGCTGGAAATATTCCGCTTGAATTTCCGGAATCCAATATAGGCCACAATTGAATATTGAATACAGCGAGAAACCGACAATATTCAATGCAATAAAATCAAAATTCAGCCCAACAACAGATTTTCTCTTGAAATTGGTCCAGATTTGTGGATAAAATGATACAGACCATGCCACAAAGTATATCCAACCGAATACCAATGATGTGTAAATAATTGCCTCGGAATTGGCCACAGTAACACGAACGAAAACATCTTCAGTACTGTAAAATCAAAAAAATTATGTTAATTTCTAACATTCCTATTATGCGCACCACAAATCACTCCTGGAGTGTTGGTTCTTTAATTTAATACTTACACCCATGTCTCATTGGGTTCACTTTCCGCCGTTATTTCCAAATTTCCTGGCTTAAGACCATGTATAACAACCGTTTGACTCTTATCACTGCCAGCACTGACACTGAATTCCATCGGATCCAAATGTACAGAATTATCATGTTGTTTTTTCAGTTTGATATTAAAATCTTGGGTGAATGGGTCTCTGGAAAGAAAATAAATTAAATATTTGGATTAGGATTGTATCATATTGATTATCATGTTTATGGATTATCAAGTGCAATAAACAATAAATCAATCGGAATCCGAAAATTCCAACGGTGTTAGAAAGAGTACATGTCTGGCTCTCGTATGAACTAGGATTATTTAATTCGCTCAAAAATTAACAAAATGGCGGACCTTTGAAAACATATTTTTGGAAAATCACCGATTTTTTGACCACAAGCCAAGTTAAAAAATAGGGAAGATCTTCACCGATTGGCTTTATCCTAGTTCATACGATAGCAATACACTCACAGAGAAACGTCCTAAAATTTGGAATCGATTGGGTTATTAGTTTTTGAGTTATCTTGCCCGCCATTCGTAAAAACACTGCTTGGAGGAAAATGCGTTTAAAGTTTGAGAATCACTCTTGCCGTCATTTGATGCTGACACAATAAATGGGCTATATCTTCAAGAGTTCTTGAGATTTTCATTTGAAATTTTGCTGGGACATTCTTGAATTAGTGTAGATTCGAATTAAATAAAAAAAAACTTTGACACCGAGAATGGGGGCGTCCCCTTAAATGTTTTAAAAAATATATTTATATCAATAACTGTTTTGCCCCTTTTAGATTAATTTCCTTCAGATATAATATACTTTTGCGGATCCTCGAAACTTGCTTTTTGGTATTGGCAATACCTCTTGTTTCATTTCCTCAATCGGTGTTTTAGGAAGAGAAAAAAATCATCAGGAACAAAGACCAATTTTTTTCTGTTGTGTCAGATTATACTGCTGTGTATTTTCTCTTTAGTCTAATTCAGCTTCTAACTCTGGGTTCAAAAAAGCTGCGACCCGTACCGGTTGTGTCCAAAAAGACGATGGTGTTAGATGAGTGGATTTGAATGGACAGTTGAAGAGGTGTAGCGTTTCATGTGGGCCATTGCCACATGTAGGGCAGATTTGTCCACCGTATCAATCAATCAAATCACGCCCAATATAAATTGTATGTGGTCTATTAGAGTCATGAGGAGACACCACACTGGGGCCGTATAGTTTACTACTGATCGACCATTTCTATTTATTCTGCTAACAATGTTGCTTTGTCAGTGCCTGTTAGCGACTTGGGAACCTTGTTCAGGCTCCCTGCCCATTTTGCAGACACCGGGATCTTGTGGCTAACAACATATTGAGGACTTTGATTAAGTACTCTTCTCCTAGCTCATTAAGCTTCATCAACATCACCATAGAGATTCCATCCGGACCAAGGCAATTGGATGATTTCGCGCTTCTGATAAGACTGGAAACATCCTCCAACGTAAATTGTGATGACGGAATGCCAAAATTTATGATGTGTATTGAAACCAGACGGTTATTACCTCCCAAAATGACTATTGTCTGGCAAGTAACGCAGCGCACAGTTATTTAACAGCAGAATGTATACGTCAAGCACCTCTACCACGGCGGTACCACACTTGAGCGCTGCCCTCATACATTCCATGTATGGGTCATTAGACTCTTGCTCAAGTGGATAGAACTATAGACAGCCCTTGGTCGAAGATTGGTTTCTTCGTGTCAATCCGGAACATAGAACCGGTCGTCGCGGGATTGCCAGCTAGTGAAAAAGGTGATTTTATTTTTGAGCAAAAACTCACTTACAAGCAGACATCTTCTCGACTTTCCTTAAACTTAAACATTTGTTCTGCTCATAGTATACTCGCCAAAGGCCACAGTCATTATTTCAAATGTCCTTGCGTTTTTAATTTAATTTAATTGCGGCTTGCGCAAATAATAATGAAAGCGCTATGGCTACGCTATATCGTCAACAGGTTGCCGATATTAGGAAGCCCAAATATATTAATTGAGTAATTGCGAATAAAATAAGCAGCCGTGGATAGTTAGCGGATCTAAGCGTAGAGTTTCGGCAAAAACGACCCAGTGTCAATGATCTTCTGGACAGACGAAGCATTGGCGCCCCAATAATTAACCAAACGACATGGGTTCCTGGTCTTCGCTAAAGGATGACTCCATAACGCTGGGGTGATACGCGACCTCGTGCCCATCAGTGAGTCAAAGGAGCCACCAGGGTGTGTTCGATAGACACTTTTGACTCCTCTGTCGGCTCCAGCACCCAAAAGTGCCAAAACAAGATAGGCAGGCATATCAGAGGGCATTTTGTTGTTGCCAGCGATATGTAGATTTGAAATCCCAACGTGGCCGGCCACACAAGACCTCTAGAAAACTTCCGATTGATCGCATGTTCCGGTAATAGCCAAGAGGGATAGTACCATTAGCTTCATCATCCTAAGGCGCGTGATTGATCGTGAACGGCTACAATTTGAAGCTATTATCCTTTATAAAGGTACCAGTGTTATTAATTGTGGAAATAAAGTGGCCGCTGACTAATTTATGAATGTAGTTAATAGCTTTGAACGCCTTCGAGAGGGTTATAACTACCTCAGAACAAATTGTAACATAATGGAGATTTTTAAGGCTTGTCTTAGATTATCCTTCATACCAAGTCTGGGGAGGGAGGTATGGGAAAACAGTATAATCAATGCTACCTTTGGGTAGAGTTCCACAAAGAAGATTGTCAGGAGAGGTACGCCAAAGGGTAGGATACTCTCCCCTTGTTCTAGCTTCTGGCATTTAACAAAACTCTTGTGAATGTTGACCAGCTAAGAACTAAAGTAGTGGCTTGAGACGGAAAAAATTTGCCAACACTATCAGATACAAGTGTCCAGTCTGGGTGGGTGAAACGAAATGGTCTTGTCAATTTACTGTTGTATTATTTGGAACATCATACTGAGTGATTTCTCAATTTTCTTGTATTTATATATGTGTATATAATATTACTATGATATACATACCTTACAATAACATCAAATGTTTCGGTTTTATTAACTAGGACAGTGATATCGTGCGTTGATACCGTTAGGCCATTAGGCGCCTGCGCCAATGTCTGTGAAACTGGGAAAGGAAATAAAAATTCCAATTAATTCAATTGAATTGAATTTCAATTTAATAGTTCTTCTTTTTTATATGACTACTTACATGTGATATATAAAAGAAAAGCATAGCTTAAAATATGCTGACATCTTGATTTGTGAAAAGCCATCTTCTTCGTGGTCATGTGACTTTCATTAGTCGCGATGCTGTCTGTTGTTGCTGATCAAAATTGTAATTCAATAGGATTTTTTTAAGTCCAAGAAGTCATTCCCAAGTGCACGAGGGTCTGTAAAATAAACAAAAACTGAATGAATGACAAGTCAATAAATTAATAGAATTTAATGCATTGCGAATTCATTTTTTATTGAGGTTAATAATAAATAACATTTGTTAGTTTACCATTGCTGATTAGTGGTGTGGTGCTGAATTCTTGTGCAAAATGTGTGATTGTGATTGATGTATTATCTCCTATCTCCCCCTTCTTTATTTATTTACACTTCGCTTGGCCATGAATGTCGCCAATCTATCTAATCGATATCAAATATCTGTATATCTGTAATAATACTGTTCAACGACTAATCGATGTTATGACTGACTGAACCTCGTCGGCATGTTAGTTTGGCTATTTGACGTTTCTTTATCTAAAATCTATTTAATTAGCCATAACCCATAAAGTTTAATAACTTAACTCTAGCGGACTGATAAAGTAATCAGCGGTTTTTCTCACGAATTTTGCACATTCGACATTATTTCTTTATTTATTTTTTAAAAAATAGTTCACATGTTTGTACCGAAGAAATGACTTTAATTTTTTGATTGAATAATTTGCGTTTTATAGCCTCCAGACACACTTATATTGATTTCCTTTTGGATGTCTAAAAATAAAGTGAAATTGAAAGTTAAATTACTCTCAACATTCTTCAAAAATAAACAAAGCGTTATTTTCGTAAGGAATTAAGTACACGAATTCGTTTCAAGTGTTCGAAGTTCCATTGTTGATATATGAGGTAATAAATAAATATTTTTTTTTTGTTTTTTAATGCAACGAGACATACTTGGTGGTTTTGGTTTAGTGACGCGTGAGAATTTTCAAGTAACATTTTGTATGAAATTATAGTTATAAGTCCAAAATATGCACCTTATCATATTAGAGTGTGGATATTTTTATGACCTCCATCATAAGGCGGAATTTATATCAAATTTGTCATTTTCTTTGCAACACCTCGGCATAATAGTCGGAGACCCCATAAAGTAAAAAAACGATTTTGCCAAAAATGCGTTTCAAGTTTTCAATTTACACAAACATCACATTGAACAGAGGAAATTCTATAGTGTCTCAATTAGAGTGCCTAAGAGATATTAATATGATTTTTTACACAACATAAGGGGTATTAGAGCGAATATTCGTGCATCATAAACTCGAAAATCACTTATTTTGAGTTATGCCTGTCTTGCAGCAAATGGGCGATATATTCTTGATTAGTATAAAATTTAAGTAGCTTTAGCAATAATTCAAATAGAGCTAAGAAATTTTACACAGACTTTGCTAGTACTTCTATGATGGTTTGTATTCAAATTAGATATATAAGGCAACGTTTTGGTATAGCCCCCATATAGCGGTACTTCCTAAAATTCGGCATTTTTGGGATATTGACAGTGTTGCCAGTTGAGAAGATTTATACCCAAATTGCGGATTTTTGGAAATTAAGTTTTCGATAAGTTTTCAATTTTCAACGATACTTGCTACATGACTTTGAGCAGGAAATAAAAAATTAAAGTTTTAATCTTAACCGCTTTGAAGTTACAAATGATAAAACGTTTACCACCCAACATGAAAATGTTCAAAATATATAAACAGTTTTCACAACAAATACGCCGCAAATCAATAGAACAACCGAATTTAAGTTTTAGAAAGCATGAAGAAAAATACATTTGTGAAATGGAGGGAAAATTTTGAAGATGATATTTCAAGCAGTTTTATTAATTTTGATGGACATTTTATTTATTACAGAGTGCTGCTGAATCAAAAACGAATTTTTTGCGTAGAATAGAACTTCTTATACACTAATATGGACCTATTTCAATACGCTGTGCGAAATTTTGAATCAATCGGACAATCCTTGGGAGTTTGGTGCACCATTTACCAAAAGTTGGACCAAAATATATATGGGAGTATATCTAAATCTGAACCGTATACAACAATACGGACCAAATATTGGGTTTTTTTATAGATAACATCGGAAGAAAATATATATGGGAGCTATAACTAAATCCGAACCGATTTCCCCAAAAGGTGAGCTGTGCCAAATTTCATTCAAATCGGATCATAAATGCGATCTGTAATTTGTTCACAAGAATACGTAGACAGACGGACATGCATAAATCAACTCAGATATTCTCAAAAGGAACCATTTCAAAGTAATATTTTCAGTAAAAATTTATGTTAAGCTGTTCAAAATCGGTAATTTTTAATGTTATAAATATTAAATCATCATTATTATTAACTATGGATGTCGTCTTTAGTTAGAGCTTAACATACATGCAACATTTCATGACGATCATATACTTGTATGCCCTCCACCACGTGATTTGCATTTGAATTTTCCTTTTCTCGGTATTAAATAATTTAATTTTGGTTTTCTATGTAATTCGATCTTACACTAATTCAAGAATGTTCCATTAAAATTTGATGTAAAAACCTTAACAACCCTTGAAGATATAACCGATTTATTGTGTCAGCATCAAGCGACGGCAGAAGTGAGTCTCAAACTTTTAACGCGTTTTTTTCTCGAAACAGCTTTTTTTTTATAAATGGTAACACGGTAACTCCAAAACTAATAATCCAATCCTTTCCAAATACGCGCTATCCCGTATGTACATAGCTATCGTATAAAATAGGATCAATTTAATTGGTCAAGATCTTCCTTATTTCCTAACAAGGTTTGTGGACGAATATAAGGAATTTTCAAAAAAACTTCATATTGGAAATTACAAAAATCTTTTAAATTCCTTGAAACTGAGGTTTGCAAGGTTATAACTCGCGAAATATGAACATATTGCATAAAATTTAAATTAATTTCTATAAAATGAAGTGTTCCTGTCAAAATCTTAAAATATTGGTAATAAATAATAAGTTGCGTGGAAGCTGTGATGGTGGTAATGTAAACAAATGGGTGCAAATGTGTTGAAGCCAACGAGTTTTTTTGTGTTCCTTCCTGATTTGTGGCTAAACTACACAAAGTACGCACATGTGATCAGTGACTAAGTTGCAGAATACCCCATGGACAATATGGTATGATTTTTCGATATAATCACTGCATCCACCCAAAAAGGATGCTGACATTTTGAACCAGATTTTCGGTGTTTTTTGAATTTTTCTTATAATCAGGATGCGCATCCAGATAATAGACGAAATTGATTATAGGATTATAGAACTCGTGATTGTGCTTCGTTTAGTGTATATCTCATGAATGTGTCACGGTAGCTTCTTTGCAATTGGATTCGAAAGATGAAAATTTGGTGCGTAAATTTTTATAAAAAACCTATTTTTTGAGTCCTAATTTAAGAAGGTCCATTCAAATTCCCTGGAACCCCGCGTGATTTTAGTTTTTTTACGTGCCGGATCTAATGATCCATCCATGTTCAATTCCGCCCAATAAAACGGGCGGTTTTTTGCAGTTTTTCCTTGAATGTTGGAAAAACTGCAAAAAACTTATTTTGACAAATTCGAGTATATAATCGCGGATTCCTTCGAATTGATTTCACATACATTCATTCTTGTGTTATCATATTCGCGAATCTGTGTGAAAATAGGTCAGAAATATATCGATACGCGAATAATATGCATATTTTATCCAAAAATTGATTGTGGTGGCACATCCGCGGTTCTTAACCGATCCTTTTAAAATAGGTGTCCTTTTGTGTATTTTCATATGAGATTACTGAAATCGGATGGGCATAAAAATCGTACCCACGTTGCGCCATTTTTAGTCATTTTTAGGGTTTTTGCATAGTAAAGTGCATCGAGCGGCACACTTTGGCCGCTTAATGTAACCTCGAAAAATGCATAATTATTGGAAGAGATTGATTCGGTTTATACGAAACCCGCATGCGCAACAACTGATTTTCACGAATACGCGAATTGCATGCTTTTCAATATTGATCATTTTTATGTATTGTAAGTGTAATATTTTTGGTTATTTTTAACTCTTATTTTTAAACTCTTATCCGATGAATCTACCGATATTTAGCAATCATCTAAAGAATTTGCAGAAGAAAGCGTCGTAAATTTTAGAAGATTAACCATACTAAAAAATCGAAAATTCAAAAAAAAATTGTTTTAATTCAAAAATTTATTTATTTTTTTCCGATATCATCATGCTTCTATTCGTTTTTCGCGACTATTATTTCAATATGATTTGACTAGTATTAAAAAAAAACAATGGTGTTTAACCATTTGTGAAGAAATTCGCGAATTGCAACGAATAGGAATTCATTTAATTTATATTTGAGATACAATATTTAAAACCGCTATAACTTTTGTGCGCAGCATCCGAATTTGTGAACGCGAACAGATTTCGAATCAGCATATTTTTCATAAATGTGCTCGCAAAAAAAATTTTCAAATTTTTTTTAATGGAATTTTAAAAGAATTTTGTAATTTCCCATATGTCCACCATTTTTTCATTTTTGTTCGAAATTAATAACCCCACTTCATACCAGCGCCTGGCGTGTACTCTTTTGAATTTAATTTTTTTTTTTTTTTTTGATGTTCCAGTAATTGGAAATCATGCCCGCCGTCGAAAAGAATGACTTTTTATAAATTACAAAAAAAGAAATGAAATACACTACAACAACTTTAATGTAATGTACGCCCATCCGGTTGAAAATCTTAAAATCGATGGGGTCCTTTACATAGGACCATGTCAAAATATCGAAACTTCGATGGAAAATATAACCCGGTCGAGATCTTTATAAGGAGACAATTTCGAAATGTGGTCCTATATCGAAAAATTTCTGCAACATTTTTTTCTTTTCCTCAAAGGGAAATTTCGGTCCACTGCTTCTGATACCCACCCCCACAAAAACATGTATAATTATCATGCGAACGGACTATACGATTTGAACCAAACTTTGTACAACCTACTATCTTCGCCAATCCTAGATCAAGTTCGAAGATGGGACCCATTGCTCCACTCCATTCG